TATTCTATCAATATTTAATTGTTGTTGTTTCAATTGAAATCAAATCAAATTAAAATCTGTTTGCATCATGAAGTGAAATGTAACATCTAGATGTTGGTTACAGTTTCATCAAATTTGATATCAAGAAATAGATTGTCAAATCAAAGTGTCTTATAGCTTGCTCATAATTTCAAACATGAATTTCACATAATGATTTAAACTTCAAACTCGTTCTCTTAATGAAATAAAAAATATTTTTTGAAATTAGAACCGAATATTAAAAATTCATATTCATTAAATCTAACAATAATCCAAATTTCTCTATGGAAAATTCAGATTTTTCATATGATGAAGTTTAACAGAATAAAATGCTTAAAAAACACTCTTACGGATTGTTTAAAATATCTTTAATACATTGTATACATGTATGATAATTAATTTTGACAAAATTTGTAAATATCTTGATGATAGCAAAATTTTAAGTCAAGATTGATCATGTTGGAACAGCAATTTTCAAATTCATATGAAAAGCATTTCACAAAATATTTATTTTATTATCAAACTATGTATGAATAGATTTTTCTAAATAAATTATCATTGAATGAAGACAAAATGTTTCATTCTCAAAGCGACATTAAAGTTTCATCAGAACTCATAATAACACGATGAGAGTCATTATCTTGTGTATAACTCACAAAACAAGCAAAAACTATGAATATGAAAGAATTTATAGATATGTTAACAATCAAATTGGAAAATTTTAATAATAGAATACATGGTTTTATATATTAACTTTATATTATGTTTAATCTTTGCAGTTCAAACATAAATACATATTTCCTTGATATTTTTCTAAAGTCAAGTTTTTATTGTAAAAAAGAGTAGCATTTAAAGTTATCAATCAATTAAAAAAATGCAATAGATTTAGTAAAATAATTTAGTGTTAGAAAAAAATTAATCATATAAATAATCACTTTATTTTTTTCATTTTTTATAACATTTTTATTTATGAGAACACACTTTATCATGGATTTCAAGTTTTTTTTATTAATTATATATAAATTTTGTTTATAGAAGATATTTATTCATTCAAATTTTGATATTATTATGAGTATAACTTTTCATACAATCTGATGTAATATTTTTTATATTTTTTTGAAAAAAAAACATCTTTACAATGAATCAAATTTTGTTGATCTTACTATTTATCATCAAGATGCGTGTTTTTATTTATTATTGAAAATTTTCAATTTAGTCAAAATTATATAATTTTGTTTTTTTTAGGAGATATGATAATTGTGTTATCACATGATTATATTTAAAAATAATGCGCAATATATTAAAATCAAAGAAAAATCTTGATATATTATGCTCTTAGAAAATAACAGTATCGTACAGTATGAGAAGTTTCTTTTCTTTGCTTTTTTTACTCTCATCATGATTACGTAATTAGCTAGTTTGATATCATGCTATTAAAAATACATGCAATTTTAATAATAATTTGTTTACAAGAAAATAGTGACATGATTTAAAGTTTTCATATCTATAATTATGTGTCAATACTACTTTCTAAATATTGAATAGTATATGGACCCAAGGCTTCAATATGTGTATATAAAACCGCCTTTGACATGGAATTTTTAATCTTTAGAATCATGTAATAACATTTATAATTTTTGAAGAAGAATTGTATCCTTATATATCAAAAATATTGATATATAAGGATACAATTTATTTTTCAAATATTCTTCGTGTCATGTTTGACATACTTCTGTTGAGATATATCATTGATGCAAAAATATACATAAACAAGTTAAATAGATATTAAAATGCATTGGATTGCAAAAATTCAAATTGCATACATTGATGTATTGGAGGTAAGTTGTATAAATATAAACCATGTCATTTGAATCCCATAAGATCCATATTTTATTTTCTTTTAGATTAAATTTGATGTTAATAATATTATATAAAATGTAATTTTTTATATAAAAATGATGTACCTACTATCTATGTAGTGTCATTTGAATCAAAAAATTAGATCTTTTAAAGATTTTTAAAAATAAAAGTAAAAATATTCTCTCAGACATGAGCATTTTTTTAATTAAAATTGACCATCTAAAAAATGCAAATAATGCTCATTTTGTGATGAATACATGAGTTCTAAATATATTTATAACTTATGATGATGTTGCTATGTTTTGATCATATATGATACATATTGTTTCATCACGAAAAGATGGAGGCCATCAAAATATGGGATTCACCAATTAGATTATATCTAGGATAAAATAACACTCATACCTAAGAATATTTTAAATTTTTGTCACATAGAGCTAAAATTACGTTTAATATTTGGTCATGTACGTATGTATGTATATATATATGACCAAGTAATATGGATGATGTCTCAAATTGACAGCCATATGTTGATTGACTCAACTAACAAAGATTACGTTAACATGAATAAATCCAAGACCTCAATTAGCTTAGAACAATTTTTCTTGAATCATATCTTAGATAACCTATATAATAACTATGTAAAAAATGTAGTAAGGTATTCTGACACGGATTCTTATAAACTTGAGCCAAGGAGAATTAAACCCTATCCAAAACATAATAGATTATTTATTGTTTTAAAGATAACAAGTTGTGACTGTTTATTTTACTTATGATACTTATGAAAAAATTGCAAATTAACACAATCTTCTGAAAGTTTCCAAAGTAACAATTAGCATCAAAATAAATCTGAATTTTAGAATATAGAATAGAACAAAATATTATAAACCTAAAAATTCAATTCAACACAATCTTATCAACTTCATTTTTTTGGGTAAAATAAGAAATATTCAAAGAGCTAGAGAAATGTGCGAATAATGATCATCAATTTATGTCACATTTTTTATATTTTTCTAAATATTTATATTTAAATTTTGTGTTTAATTTATATTCTTCATTTTTTATATAATTATAGCTTTTTTGTGCTATATGATCATAACTTGAATGAACGTAATTTTTTATTGTGCAATTTTCATCGACATGATTAATTTTGGAATTTTCTTTATACTCATATAAAGATATTCAATGAGTAAGATAGATGATCAATAATTTTTTTAAAATAAAGATGTATAAAATTTTGAAAATTTTCATTCTTATATTTCTAATTGTGATAGTACATAATTTGTTTGTTTATATATATTTCAAAATTTCAATTTCATGAAATCATTTGACATATGTATATATATAATATGTATTTATAATTATAAATATTTATTAAAAAATTAGTTTGAGATTGTTATTAATCCATTTATTTTGATTCATTTATTGTATGTACAATTTTCATATATTAAATGTTATTGCATGCATGCAGGTTCTTAGCAAACTTGTTTAGATTGCTAAATTTTGCATTACATTATGTGTGTGGTATGTACTTAATATGTGTGAGAGTGCAAAACATACATGTCCCCGATATATTGATTTTATCTAACTTCAGACGTTCATCTATGGGATTAATATAATTCACTAATAATTAACGTCAATAATATAATTCACACAACTAGAGATTTCTGTTGAAGCGTCACGCCAAATTGTTTGGCAAAAACTCTATGTTTAGACCTACTATATGTTATAATTTAGTGCTTAAGCCGTTGTTATCAAGATGACAACTGGTTTGGCTTCCAATGGTGCGGAGTAGTATATTTGTTGAAGGATGCGGTTTTGAATAACCGGTATGGTATTTTGGGCAGCACATACTCATGTGAAAAACTAATATAGCTCTGGGGCTCATTCCTAATGGTTGATGAGACTGACAGAATGCTAAAATAATCTTAAAGTAAATAGATTGTAGACATGTAATCAGCTGTAAATATATCGCAAGTATTCAAACTTATGAATACACTACGAGAAAGAGTGGTGACGAGAAGGGATCCGCTCGCTTCATTTCTTCGAGCGAACTAAACCATCCGTATACAGCGCACTTCGATGTCGTGAAGGGTGGGTGTTCTATCCCCGCATGGCCTGTTAAGAAGTAATCGTTCTTCAAGGAAGCATTTAATATATTGTTCGGAGAGCAATGGGGCCTTTCCATCCTATGCTGTAATACTTGGTCCCCCTGGGAGAGCGACAAGAAGTCTACTTCTCTCAGGTCTGCTCCTTGTCGGGCACTGGCAGGGAAGACAAACGCTGCTTGGTGTACTGTAGTTCGTCAACACAGTGTTCATGGTGGTGAATTGGGGGCGTAAGGCTGGATTCAGGAGATGTAAACGTAGTGATTTAGTTGCGTCAAGGCTGTTAATGATCTGTCTCCTCGTTGTCGGCGCTCCACGTTCCAGGAATCTAACGAGATGTAAGCTTTCTACGGAATTTCGTTTTCTACCTTGCACCAAAGAGGGAGGGGTAATTGTACGGCGCTACCGGATTTGGGTACAGTAAATCCATCTCAACTCCATCCCAACTAATGTGACGTTTTACCATCTGACTTTTTTTATTAACAGTGCCCCAACGTGACAGCTGGGGTGACCGGAAGAACCTGAGTCATCAGATCCGTATGTTCTGAGAGGGTGACCCCGTACGCTCCTCCTCCCTCCGTATATGTTACACTTTTCAGATCTCTCGGACAAGGCTTGGCCGTTAATTAATGTAAACCACGTTTTGCGTTAAGGTCCGAACTGCACTACTGGGATGGTATTAGCCAGATCAATTGAGAATGGGAAATCTGGGTGAGAACTTTGGCCGATATTCCGAACGCTCATGATCAGTCGATTATTCCGCGGATTTCCAGCTCTAAGTCCGGGAATATCGAGCCATGTCAATGATGGTGGAAGGTGAGCCTGGATCTTCATTGATGTTTGGAAGGGAAATGATTAAAAGTGGAGAACATTTAGAAACGCTAACAGTTATAGGCTGCACTGGATGGCGAGTACGAGATACGGAAGCTTTGGTGAGCCCCGTCGCGGTCAGACCGGACGACCGGCCAAGCAGATGAAGAGGCGCTAGGCTTGGCGCGGGGTTGGAAAGGGGATGGGGCCGCTGGGCTTGACCGGGGACTTGACCACAGATGCTCTCGCCCCGTCTGAGAGATCTCTCTCGCAACCTCGCTGGATCGTTCCATCGGCCAAGAAGACCGTAGAGCATCTACAACTGTCACACAGAGCAACAGAGACACGGAGCGATAGAGCTCCATATGTGATCTACTTGCGTTAGCGTGCCTTGCTGCTGCCGGAGGTCCTCGACGAGCTTCATGCTCTTGGCCGGTGGGTCGATCGAGGGTATCCATTCCAGTTGCTTCAATTGTGCCGTGGAGTGTAATTCTGAGTCGTGGAATCGCGCTCTTGGATTCTCTAGAGGTTTGGATGTGAGGAGGAATGGAGTATTTTGTACGAGCGTTGCCATTTAGAGGAGGAGGGCTCAGAGTGGAGTGTGATTCAGGAGAGTGAGTTGGGGAGGGAGGGAGAGAGAGAGAGAGGAGGGCTAGTTTGAAGAATGATGGGTTGTGGAATGGATAGTTTTGGGTTAGGATATGACCAGGATGAACGACTCAACAGCTGGAGATGTACGAGAGATCTGCCTCGAGGCGGTGGTTATTGGTGCAATCTTATCCGCTTAGAGCTTAATATCGTGTGCTATGTCACCTAGGGAGCTCGGAGATATAACGTGGATTGGCTCTTGATGGAGGAATACGTACTCTTCAATGTTAGCAAGAAGTTACTCTCGTTGCGGAGATCCTTCGTGACTTTTAGGTGACCTCACATTTAGATTTCTATGTTACTATGGAGCTCGAAGGCTGCAGAAGTGGCGGCATTGGAGCTTTGCAGTATGCGTCGGGGGCAAAGTTTTCTATCCTGGTTGTCGGAAACAGAGGGCTTTCCTTTCAGTCAGGCATCAGGAACAGGATCAGTGGAAGGAGATAGAGGTCCTGGTATTAAGCGCGGATTGGAAGACTGTCAAAAGTGGGGGTAAACAGTTTCGTTAGCGAAGCGTTGCACAGGTAAACGTTAGTCGGTAGTTGGAATAGTTGGAAGCAGGAAGATGAAGTCCATAAAAAAATTGATGCACTTTAACAGTCACAAGTTCAAGGAGAAACACAGTGGGTCTCAAAGTTCGCCAGATTCCAAGCATGGCGCCGACGTACCGAAAGAGATGCAAGTAAGATTGCCCATATCACTTCCATTTGCGCACTCGAATTTGTTTCTTGATATTGTAACTGCGTAGCAAGGCTGGAATATTCATAGACGCGTGTGACGGCCAGTACGGCTTGCGAGTGGGTAAGAAACTGCTCGAGACTGCTCTCTTCACTCTCAGCCAACTTGCATCCTTCGCCTTCATGCTGTGTTGGGTTATCACCTTAAGGTCTACGACATCGTGACCGCCATGTTGGAAACTACTCTTTCTAAATCTCAGACACCGAGGGCTGTGACTGGCACTCATCCGATGCTGATGATCCGTATGAAATAATTGCCAGCCAACCATGGGCTGCTGCGGCATGCCACGTAGTTCAAGATCGCAGTCGAGTGCACAAGCCCGAGCAAGTTCTTGGTTACATCGAAAGGCATGCATCACGTAGTCCGTCGTAGCTCAAAGTGGGCGATTTCTAAGTTGGGATATTATTATCGTTCGTGGTTTGAGAGTGTTCTATGCCAAAGCCATGCCCAGTCCTCCGTTTTATGCATCGAAAAGCAGGCACGGCGAGCATCCGATTCAGGGCAACCGCAGCCAAGGGCAGGATTGTGACCTGCATAATTAGGGCGTTGTTATTATTCTAGAAGAGGTTTACAAACTGTACCCATGAGTTCCTCGATATACTTGGATTTCAGTTTACAAGGAAATGTTGATTTTCGGTTGATCTGCAGGAGTTGCGGGAATTGCGGAAACAATATGAGGGGCTGTTTGAAGTGTCAAATTTGGTGTCAGTCCGTGCTCATGGTAAGTGTTCACATCTCCTTGTTGGAAACTACGAGAATGTTCTGAAACCACGAATGCGTTTTTCCCTATTGCATCGATCGAAGACTATATTCGCGACTTGATGAAACCATGGCAGTCGTCGTGGACGTGAGCACCATGAAGTATTGCTGCTCTTGAGCATGAGTTTAAAAGTCGCTTTGATTACGCCATATTTTCTCTAGCTTCAATGATGAGTTAGCGGTGCCAGTTCGTGCTTACAGTACATCGTATCATTCTCTACTTTTTGGCGTCCGTGATCTTATTGTGAGATGTCCTTTGCGATCTAATAAAGAAGTCATGTTGGCGTTAGCACCCTGCTTATGTTGGTGGCAGCTTGATTGAGTTCTAGTTGTCATCTCAGAGTTTTCAACAGCCATTCAGCAACTTGCAACGTACCTCATCAATACCTTCGGCTCTATTGAAGACGGGGAAACTGGTGAGCTCCGTTTGTAGCAATTTGTCGCACGCTGTTCACTTTCCTTGTAGTCTATGTCTGTAAGGTGATAGCCAGACCTGCTAGTCTGAGAATAGATGATACCTGGCCGACTGCGTTTGTTATTTGTGGTGGAAGCTGTTTATTCTTGTTTAGGCAATGTGGTAGTCAAGGCCAAGTAACGAAATCGGATGCATTATCCAGAGCACCTTTTGAGTATGAACATTGCATTTTGCAGGGAAGGTCTTCAAAATAGTTGGGAGAGTGCAGTTTGAGATGTCTAAAATTCTTGACTTATATGTAAGTTTTTTCACAATTGTTTTCGACTTCAGTTAGTTCTGCTATTTTAGAATTTCATATGTTTCGCTTCGAATGGACTCACTCACGCATGTCTGAAGTTGATGCAGTATCACTGATGTTGTATTTGACCAACTGAGCTGTTATGACCATTTTCAGGCTTCCCAGGTCCTGCAAACATTTACGGAGCCAACAGAAACTCTTCTTTCTGAACTTCAAAATGTGGAGGTAAGTCGGATATCCTTTAAGTTGGAATTTTGCAGATGGTTATTACAATATTACGAGCGTCGGAAGTAAACATCAATAAATGGTTGAGAAGAGCGCCAACATAGATCCTCCACGCTTGGGGAAACCACTCCTGACAGAGCTCATTTGAAGAATGGAGTTTCACCTGAAAGTGAAACCGTCGTACATCGCGTTCAGGTTCCTTCCGGTGGATCGCTTACGACCTTTCTTGTCGAAACAGTCAACATCAATCCAAGCGGCGTTGAGCCTGGCCCACCATAGCCGTGACAGCTACGCAGCATGTTATGCAAGGAAGAGTTATATATTCTAGTATATAACTCTAGGGTTACTTGTGTTCTTTTTTTCTGGATTGTCATCAGTCACTTCATCTTCACTCTCAAGATTGTTGAAGGGACACCAACAGGGAGGTCTAGCTCCTCTTCTTGGAACTCCAGTTTGGCAATTTGTTGCAATAATATGAAATCATTGCATCAACTCTAGTTATCCTCCAATTTGCCTTCTTTTCTTGAACTTGATCAAAAAGTTCCAAGTTGCAAGTATCTCTCTCTTGAACATTCATTCCTCTGGCATTAGATTTTTTCCCCCCCTTATCTTTTTCATTCTTATAGGCTTTGGTCCATAGTACAAATGATGGAAAAAGGGATCTCTGCGTCGTTGTTATAGAGCATGCTCAAACTGATCTGATAAACTGAGTTTGATTTGGAATATACTCTTTAACAATCTTAATTAGCCAATTTGAGAGAATTTTTTGTTAGGGCATCGAAAGACCAAAATCCTTCCTTTGACAGTGGAGTTGGAGGCAGAGACTTAAAACACAAATTGGCGCGTTTTTTCCTTCAACGCGTTTTTTTACTGTTACCAATTTAAGATCTTAGTTTCTCTACTTAATTGTACTTGTTCTCCCAATGCTGAGTGCGTGGGAGACTGCAGTCTAACGTGTGCCTGTTCTGTTTCTTCTCATTCAGCAGGATTCCAAACGGCAGCATGACGAAAAGAGGTGAGAATATAACTTGTCTCAGCAGTAGACTACATTATTGTTTTTCTGTAACATTATCAGCAAATTATAATTGTTGGAGGACAGGACTCTAATATCTGCCAACAACTATATGCAGGCAGTTATATGAAAACCTAAGGACACGAATTGTGAAAGGACGGCCAAAGAATGGCAAAGCCGAAGCATTTGCAGACCAACAGCTGCAGGTCGTGAAAGACGAATTTGACAAGCTTGCTATGTTCGCCAATGCACGTTTGGTCTCCTTGGAACAAGGCCGACCTCGTAGCCTTATCACTCAAGCAGCTCGTCATCACACAGCCCAGGTAGAGAATTTTGTCATGTTCATCTAGAAGTGTAGAAGTCTACTTGAAGTAGATACAGTAATATTTCATGTAAGATGTACACCATACTGACCTAGCTTTGTCTGTTAAATTAACGGATAGAGAAATCTCCATTAGTTTGATGGTACATGCTCACTCATACCAGACTGTAACTTGCAGATGCACTTGTTTAGTCGGGGACATTCGGCTTTGCAGGCTGTCGAACCTTATATGAGGCAAGTTGCTCGAGAGCGGAATATAGATCGTGAAATAAGCCTGGCAAGGAGTGGCTTGCATGATAACGAATTTGAGTCCGACACAAATGAAGACGATGATGTGTCGTATATAGATGAGCTCGATACTTCCGACTCACAAAGTTTGGAACATGTATGTCTTTCCTACGCAACCTTCAGTTTATCAGGTATTTGTTTTGTATGTAATGTGTCGATGCTGTGGTGCTGGTGTATGGCCGTCAGGCTGTGACAGGAAAATACAGGAAAGTACTTTCTATATTATCTATGCTAATGGTAAAAAATATCATATTTCTTTCTCATGATCAACGACCGTGCTCTCTCTTTCTGGCTTTGAGCATCAACAATTTGTAATCCATCTTTCTCCCCATGTAAAGAGAAGAGTAATTGTTTCAGTCTTAGCTTCTTGCTTAGGATATGGTGACCTACACGTCTCATAATACAAATTCACTACTAGAGATGAATAGTCACTAACTCTTATGTTTCCTAGCTCTTGTGCCAATGTTGGGACTAACGTTCAGTTGTGTTTAAGTTTAAACAGAGAACTTGAAGATTCTTGTCTTTTAGTAGAGAAATTGAGAAAGCACTTTGATTGGATAACAAATAGTAGGATTAAGGGTTTTAGAGTTCAAATTAATAAACTGATCACACACCTGTTACTTCTTTTGATATCATGAAAGTCCTTTTGCTTGATGAAACCTGAAGCATTCGCATTGGAAAATAAAGGGTAGGGTTTAGGGTTTAGAACGATTAATTCATTACAATACTGCCATCTCATATGACGTTATACAAGTTCTTGCGCATGATGAAACCTTGGCGTTTATCTGAAAATGATTGTGAATGTTGTGCTACCGGACCAGATGGGTCAGGTTATCGTACGCTCGGAAACGAAAGGAGCTTGTGAGATTGTAGCTTTTGTATCTTTTCTAAGTCACGCTGATATTCTCTGGGCTGATTATTATGCCAAGGCTTTTGAGATCTGAAAGACGCTGCTACTTCTCGTTATTTTATTGGACAGTCAAGCAGATGGAATTCGCGCATAGATTCGCCAGAGAGATCGCCGAATATTCTAGATGAGGTGAGTAGAGGCTAGTACTTTCCCCCAAGGTTAGTGAGTAATGGTTATAGTCACTTTTGAACAGCTAGACTAAATTGTATGTGTTCTTTGACTGATGTCTGAATGGCATAACTCGGTACTGTGAGAAGAAATTGGTGCTTTACGTGATGAAGTGGCTTAATTAGAGCTATACAGACTATCTTCGAGGGCCTCAAACCTTAATGAAAAGGTGTCGTGTTTCAGGGTGTTGGAGTGCCAAAAAATCTCACGAAGGAATGGAATTCTATGCTTTTACGATCCAATCGAAGTATGGGGGAAAATCCACAATCCAGGCACAGTGGAGAATATTCTCACTTAAGAAGTAATAGTGGAGATGGACCAAATTTGAGGGATGGTAGTACATTTGGCTCCGGCCCTAATACTCCAAGGCTGGATGAGAGTGTTTTCGGCTCTGGTGCCACCACTCCCAGACTACTGGAGCATGGTCGAACTACCAAATATAGTCCAGGATATCACAGTAGTAAATCGGCTCCTTTAACACCGCGAGGGCTGCCAGTTGATGAAGATGACACTTTTCACCCAACCGAAGCGCGTGAAGAGGACTTGGAGTCGAACCAGGGTGGAGTATATACTTCCCCTCCTCCCTCCAGGCCACCCCCAGAGGTCCCTACTGGTCCTACAAGAGGCATGGATGGAGCTGGATTTAGCGCTACTTCTTCTGAGTATACATCACATAGCGTCTCTACGTCGGGAAGGACATCTTTAGACAATCATTACCACACATCTGACCCAGATTTGTCAGCTTGTGGTATGCAAAGTGATTCTTCTGGAGTTTCGTCAAAGTACAGTCAAAAGTCCGCAGGATTTACTTCGGAATCAGCTCAAGCGAAGTCCCACACTTCCTCTGATCAGAAACTTCCTTCACCAAAGCAACAACCTCCAGTGTCTATCATGGAGAACCCTCCAGTTTTCAGCTTTGTTTCCCCCTCACTTTCTTCCACGCCTGTGGGATTCACTAGTAACACCATGGATTCTAGGCGGCGGGATTTGAAGAGATACAGTCAGTCAGGACCTTTGACTTTCAATGGCATGCCTTGGACTAGCCAACCATCTTTAGGCAATATGGGCCCCAACACGTCATCTCAATCCGGGGGCAACGCTGCCTCTGATCTGCACAGGTCTGGTCCTTTGGGAAGATCTCCTCTCGGTCGAACGTTTGGATCTCCAAGAATCTCCCCTTGTATATCACCTCCTAGGATGTCGCCTCCAAGAATTAGTGAACTTCACAAACTTCCTCCTCCTCCTCTCAATCAAACCAGGAGTACCTCAACTTCCTCCTGGTCATCTAACTTAATTGCCCACTCCGCCCCTTTGTCAAGACCTGCAGAATCAACCGCCAGTCAGAGTACTGTGCGAGCCACACCTTTGCCTCCTCCTCCACTTGGATCGATGCCCCGGAGCTTATCTATGCCTGCTCGACAGAAGAATGCACAGTATCAGCAGCGGTCTAAGCCACCAACCATACCACAAGTTCTGGAAGTGAGTGACGAAGAGAGTGCCTCGCCGTCTCACGAACAATCTGAAAAGAACAGTGCTGGGGGACGCAACTTTAGTTCTCAGGTTCGTCATTTGCAATTAGCTCAGTACGTTATACTAAATGGTTGTACGCTTGTAAGTTACACTTCTTACTCGCTTTTTTACTTTGCATCTGGCTTCGTGTTTATAATTGAATACTTCTCTTACACAATCTTCTACACCCTGAGGCTTCCTGCTTATCATTTATTTGCTTTGCGTCTTTCAGGACCACCATTATGTGCACAGAGTATCAACTCCGAAAAGAAGTTTTTCAGTTCAGGAATTGGCACCTACACCACCAAATCTTCCGTTCATACACTTTGATGCCTCAAGGTCCGCGGGCGGAGCGTCACCTAAGAGCTCGCAACAACACGTTCGACCACCATCACGTAAGTCTGAGACCATGGTTCACTCTGTCTGTCTGGAGTGCTGATACTGAACTGACATATGCAATACCCGGAGAGGATTATTCTTATCAGTGAGATATAATTTGACAATGTAGTTGCTTTGGAAGGTGATAGACCACAAGTAGAACTAATTACAATGTCTCTCGTGGCCCATTAAATTGTTGTACAGCATCTGCTCCTAGTCGAATGTCTATGGACTCGCAGACTCCTACTCCGTTGAAGTCCGCTTCTCCTAGGACACCAAGATGGCGATCTTTATCCATCAATGATACTGACAGCTATCTTCACAACGCAGCCAAAGGAGCTGTGTTCAACAGGGAGTTCTCACCAGAGCTGGTCGCATTAGGCCCTCGCTAGTCATCTCATCTGGTGTTAGTTGGTATAATCATCACCTGTAGAGATTGTTAAGAGATTGTACCTTGGAACTGCCGAGCATTATTTTTGTCTGCCGCAGAGTTTTCACCACCTGTAATCCAAGTACCCCGAAATGGTTTTGTGAGCTATTCCAAGTCTTTCGCTTTGAACAACTCTAATCTGATGAACTTTGAATTTCTGGACCGGTTCGGGTAGCAGATAGCATGGAAACTCACTGCTCATGCATCCCTTACCGTCAGGGTTGGATTTTGAGCCAATGATCTCATCTAGGTAGATTTAGTTAGTTATCTCCACTGACTGTAAGGAAGACTACTCTTGGTGGTTAGTTCAAGTTCGCATCTAATACGCGTTTGTTAGGAGCTCAGTTCTACGGGAATATGGGTTAAATTGTACGTTTTGTTGTAAAATATGAACAGGAGTAAAGTTGGTGGTGGTAAGTGTGGGGATTTGACCACCCGTGCTGAAATATATCTACTCAACATTATCAATACATAATATGGAAACATCTTCCAGAAATGAATCTCACATGAGGGTGGTGGTTTCGATTGTGGAGCTGGGGTTACTCCTAGAAGAGACACATTAAGTTTTGTAAGTTGTTCGGGTGAAAACTTTTGAGTTGCTCAAGACTGTTGGGTTAAATTTAAGGCTGATTGTCTCAAGAGCAGTGTATCTGCCATCGTTTTGGGAAGATCCTTTCAGCAGTAGTTGCATGCATTATATTTCTTAACGTATAACGCTCTGTCTTCTTTGTGCTGGAGTCTTTTACTGCTCCTTTTCGCACATATTTCTCGACTCTTCCAGTTTTCACTCGTGCTTTTTATGTATTTTATCTCCTTGGTTCGCGTCTTATTTTCACAGTTCATTTTTTAAGTGATGTCTCTTAACATCACTGTGGTTACCGTGTTTTTCATACTTCTGACGAGCATTCTGCATGGACCTACCAGCGCATGTGTGTCCTCACTAGTTTTAGTATTTATAAATTCAATGATGTAGCATCCGAGATTGACCTTCTATCTAAGTCCTCTGGGAAACAAGAAATGTAAGGAATCTATAGATATCTATCTGTAGAAGTTTTGGAATGCAAGATGCTGGATTCTAGAGTCGAATATCGAGACCTGCGTTCGGCTGGATAGAAAAGCAGTTAAGTTTCAGCCGACTGTGAGGGAATATTATTCGCGTCCATATTTGAAATTACACGGTGATTGATCCTCTTGAAAACAGTCGGAGGACCTCAGTGCTGAAAAGTAGAAGAGTGACTCTAACCGGACGGTTGTAAATGTGAAGTGAAGACTTAAGGGGATGAAGGGACCGTGAAGAGAGAAACGAGTGAGCAGAGCAAGGTTTAAGGTTGATGCTCTTGTGAGATCGACCAGCTGCTGTAAGTACACATACGTAGTATAAGAGGTATGAGACTACAAGAGGCACTTGCGTCAATTGAGAAAGGAGTAAGTGGAGGAGATGGAAGTTCGAAGCGCCTCCGAGAAAGTCCCACGGCACCAGTAATATTTTACACGTCAATTGAGGAAGAAAATGGTAGGCACATGGGTCGAGTAAGGACTTTCCCCTTCTGCCAGTCCTTCCTTAATACACGTTTGCCGGAGCCGATGATGCTGCTGTGCGATTCCGATTACCCCTAACGATGTTTGTTTTTCATCAAGTTACGACAAGAAAGCAGTCTCGAAGTGCGACTTCATGGTTCGTTCACAGGAGAAATTGTATGAAATGTGACAGTTGATCACGAACGTAGTTCCTAAAAAAGAGGACTTCCTGATGGACAAAGCTGGACGTTTGCCCAGGACGTGATTCTCATCAACTTTCAAAACTCCATTGTTAATCGCTTATGCTCAGTACTGAGAATAGTCGTAAGCGATATCCCGGGTGACATTTATACGGATTGTCAGTGACGAAGATAAATGTGGAAGTATTGTTGCCTCATCCATTATTTCGTGCACCACCACACACGGATGTACATTTCAGATGTACTTGGTGTGAAGAGGTTAAGGTTCGCTGTTCACCTCGTTATTCTGGACGAGCATGTGTAGTCTTTATTTGCCCTTTGCAACTCCTGATATGCTATATACACCTGCCACACATGCCCTTACCTCCATTGTTTTGGTTCCGTTAAGGATGAATGCCCTACGTTTGATCATTAATAACTCGTATATTGGTCGGGAAACGACTCTGACCCAATAGAGGTGTAGATTTATAACTAAGTAAAACGAAGTCTACGGACAGAGAGAAATTGAGTCTTAACGAATGTCCTTCTCTCACTTGGTGGTCCCTCTTTTGAGCTGTTGACTTTGATACATGCTCGCATGTTATCAAGGTAAAGCCCTGTTTTGAATGTCCTGAGAACTCGACCCCCATGTTATAACGTAGTTTTGTTTCACACATCTCGAACAGAATAAGTTGTTATTATCACTTTGATCTCAAGTTAAGAGCTAGATGATCAAGGGATTGGACGTCCACCGGGACTTGGTGGCAGAATAATTTGTGGCTGTACTCGGAACCTAGCAACTGTACAGCTGCTTGCAAGGTCAAATTTTAGGAAACAAAGTTTACTTGAAACACCCTTCAATGAACATACTTGAAGATAGTTTGGAGATCGATGACCCACTTTCTTATACTATTCCCGTTGACACATTCGCCGAAAAATAATCTATACGTTAGAACGATAACTGCGTTAACAAATTAATCGACATATATCAAACAGCATAGAATCTGAAGTCTATCATGGTGGTAGCGTCCCATGGAACGACATGGGAAGTATTGGGCCGCGAAAGTAAGCGTCCCACAAACAACAACATTCGAAAATGGCTTTTCATCAACATTCCTGAGATTTACCATCGATCAATTGATGAGGTTCGTCCCATCCTTTCTACTAACTAGATCACTCGTGCACATCTAGTAATCAAGGTAACCCATTTTTGCTTGCAGATTACACTAAATTCTACTCATGCACCCATACATGCTAAATGTACAGTCAACACTGCACATGAGTAGCTTTGCCTTCTAAAGATGATTCTTGCAACCAACCTATTTCCTCGTTTCTGAAAAATTCGTCCTACACAATACATATGCAATGATCAAATGTTAATTACAAACTGGATGTTGTGATAACCGTAAAGCCAACACAGTAGCACTTCGACTTGTGGGTACTTTTTGGTAAGGTTGATGCGGGCTTTTCAATTGAGTTGTGAAATTTTGCCAAAGTATGATGGAATCGACTTGGAATGCTACGGCCGCTTGAACTTCGAGCATATAATACGATTGATTTTGTTGATAGTTGCTTGAGTTCCTGCCCTCTTCGTAATGTATGAAAAACTTACTAAATATGAGAACATGTTATTCTCCTTGTGCTGCTATCATTCATTGTCTTATCAGGCAAGGGATGAACCCATAGTGATGAATTCACAGGTGATGGATTCACAGGAGTGTTGTTCTTGATGATGATCCGTTAACGATAAATTCTTAATCATTTACTTCTAGACCCAATCAAAATTCTACATGAAGACGCAACAGTTTGTCAGTTTTTATTCCAATTGTCTTCTAGTTCGATGTGGTCTACATTTCTCATTGTGATCATCTGGCTAGCTACATAAGCTCCTCGTGCGGTCTTCGTATCATTTTCGATATCCACACAACCCCCAATAGCTTCTTTCAACCGCATAAGACTTTCCATTAACGTCGTATTTCTATTTCAATGGAATATGGGAATTTGTTTCATCCGAATTCCACGCATAGTTTTCTTTGGTTTGATTGTCGCAAGGAATGTATTGATGAGGTAAAGCCATCAAGATTTCAACCTCAGCATAAAGTGTCATCACTTTATGCTGAAAATTGAAAAACAGATTCAAATTTTTACCTAGATGGATCAATATATCAGCCGAACTTTGGCTCTTACCTATAGAACGTATTGGATGTTTCAAACATAACCGTAAATTTGTCTGTGATTACTGTAAGAATGTGTCCACGGAGAAAATGAATGAGATCAGACAAAACACCCTCAAATCTTACGGCCAATTTCCATGACACTTAAAATTGTTGCTCGTTCTTCCCATACATCGGACTTCAGTTTTGGCTTTAGTTGACGTGTTATACAGAGATTTGTTTTATATTGAATTACCCATCACATGTTATTTTATCCGTGGATATATTCCGTTAAAGTTATACGTGTCAATTACGGATATCATTCCCTTATTATGACTTTTATTAACAAAATTTTGGAATTAGAGTATTCTATTAAGGTATATAACAATATTCCCATCATCTTCATACCGGGAATAACATTACAATGTTTGAAAGTACGTAGACACTCAACCCTATCCATCACCAGGGCCTATCTCTTGCATCTGAAACGAGGTATGGACTCTCGGAAAACTTATCACATCTATTCTTGTCCTAAAATATCGTACTTGATGTTGGTTGACAGCATATCCAGCATTTAACTATCCAGGAATTCTTCATAGCTAAGTCCGATAACACGTCTGTATTGCAGGGACACAACCTGATAGAAATACAATAATGAAGAGCCTTCTAGCTTGCATTGTCAACTTCAAGTTGTCTAACTTATCACGAAGAAAAATTGGTTCCTGCATATCACGGCCATGAGAGATATCCAATTGGACATCTCACATGTCTCTTTACATATAACCACATCTGATGATTACGCTCATAATATTTATCATGTCTGTACTAACGCCAACCATCAGTTTAGATGTTTAATATAAAACACATTCCTCATATAAAGCCAAGTGTTCAAAATATTGTATCGTACACTGTTGTGCATATATGATATTATATAACTGCCTTGATTTTGTGTTTCTTATATCATTAATTTCAATCAATGCCTGATTCTTTTCATGCGATATTACAAGTGTCTGCTTCAAGACCAGAATTATTTACATACTTTAGTGATGTTTTTTGGAATTTTTCTTTAGCATTAAGGATCTACAAAACCTTGCGGGGTTATTTTCAATTAATATTGATACGTTTTCTATTTTTAGCATATATACGAGCGTAATTTGCCGTCTCATTTGTTAAAGATCATGTGCATAAAATCGAAAGAATGTTGAGTTTGACCATACATACTGGATAGTTCCTTTTGACATGCAATCATGAAGTACGTATACATGAACTAAACTTATGTTCTAATCAATTGTATATGTTATAAGAATTATTAGAATAACATTAACGTTACCAATAAGTTATTTATAAAGTATTATAGTTTTACTGAAAGTATCAAATATATATATATATATGCTATTTATCCTTAATTAAATAATGAAAATAAATACAATTTTAACAAGCATTGATAAGCATTTTTTCAGTCATGTGATACAAGTTTTGGATTAGGATTGAAAAAAACATCACAAAATTCCAGAAATATCAAACCTGTGAAAACGTTAAAGGAAAATTTTCAAGTGCAACTTTTGTTGATGAATATCAATCCATCTTGCGCACATTGTGACAAATACTGTTTTCAATGTAAGTTATGTCCATTAAAATTCTGAATTTGTCTTGTTGCATCAGTTTGAAAAAAAATGTAAGTTTTGCATCAAATGGACAGAAAATTCATCTATAACGAAACACGTTCATAATTCTAAAGATTATCTTTTAGTTATGTTTGTAATGAGTTGTTATTCTTTGAAATCCTGTCTTTGTTCTTATATCACACACATACTCGGTGAATTTACCGTTTTTCTAAGTTTTATAGCAATCCATGATAGAAAGTATAATTAAGATATTGAAGGTAGACACTTAAAATATAGTTTTCAAATTTGAAGTACGGATGTAATTTTTTTATTTTGAAGAAAAAAACATGGAAAATTTAGATTGAAATTTAAACACGTATTTAGACATCCGGTAGAACCAGATAATTTCTTTCAATTTGAATTCAAAATATTTTTATAAAAAATAAGCTTGAAAAAATCAAATTTAAACATGAGATGTTTTGAGAGGGCAAATACAAGTCATTCGGGGTATAACTGCCCGACTTCAGAAATTTAATTTATTTGAATAAATAAAAGTTGGAATATAAATAAAAATGGTTCATAAAGGAAAAAGTTAGTCAAGTTGTAGAAATATATCATTGAATGTGATAGCTAAATGAGTATACTTTCATCATCGGATCACTTCTTTAACCGTTTTGATTTTAGTCAAACTATGAAATTGTTACAAAGAGTACGAGAGGAGTTTAGAATCGACATGTCAAATTCACTTGTAAGAATACATTAAACACACATGTACACGTCAACAATGCCATTAGTAGTGTTTTGTGCAACATTCATGAAAAAACTAATTATTGCGTGTCTTTTGGCTAAGATTATGTATTAATTTTGATTACTCTTCTACATATTGGACCTGCATTGTTGTATTTTTGAAAGAATTTTTCATTTAAAGAGAGATTATGATTTTCTAATCTTTTCGGGATCATGGTTTGGACTTTTATCTGAACTCCGTGTGCCTTCTTTGAGTTGTTATCATTCCTAATACGATACAGAAAATAAGAATTTGATACGCAGCCAAATAGAAATGAAGTAGTCACCTAAGAGCTGTCTTCTGGAGAATTATGTGGCCATAACTTGCGGCGATCAATAACCATAGAAGTTTTGCAGAGTTTACACTTTCTAAACGTATATACTTCGTGGTTCTTCGGGGTAGTGAGAACAGACATATGGAAGAGAAATCATGAAAAGATAATTTAGATAAGCATGAGAGTGACTTAGTACATAAACGCGTGGATTTTCCCGGGAGGGTAGGGCTGACGTGCTTCTCCCTTGTGAAGGACCGTGAAAGGCAGGAGCAAGAACTTGGGAAGGGTAATGGAGAAAGGGCGAGACAAAGGAGGGAGACCGGGAGAGAGTGGCACAGGAAGAGAGATTTGTGCGCAGGTGTACCGCTTCCGCGTGTGCGAGCTCGTGAGGTTGGAGCTGGAGGTCGATGTTGCCTCTCTACTACACCAGAGGCTCCAGTGACTGAGGAGGAAGCAGGAGGGAGGGGAGTGAGTGAGGGAGGGAGGGAGAGAGGGAGTGGGAGGGAAGGGGAGCAGAGAGTGTGTGCATGCAATCTCTCTTCGGAAGCACAAGGCCCAAAGAGAGGACAGCTGAAAGTGAGACGAGCCGAGACGAGGGAGGGGGAGAAGAATAGGGATGGGTGATCGCTCGAGAGGACCACGACGACGGGGAAGAAGGCCTTGAGTCCTTTGATCAGTTGCAGGTGGCTTGGGAAAGTGTCGAGACCAGTTTTGCAGGGGAATTGACTACAGTTTCCGAGAGCTTCTCTTTGGTCGACGAGCATGGCGCAAAGTAACTGGGAAGCGGATAAAATGTACGTTAAGGGAGCTCGCATAGGTCTTGTGCTCCCGGCTTGAGCTTTGTAGTTGCTACCCGATGCCAGTAAGAGATACTGAAGCCCGATGGCAAGGACACGAAAATTTGGATTCTCTTAAGAAAGACATTGACGGTCTCTGTAAGCCGCGAGTTTGATGTTTGGTTTGAGAACATCGGATGATCCGAAGCTTTTCATATCCTTTAATCGTTTGTTGTGTCAGGTTGGATGTGTACATTTACGACTATCTTATGAAAAGAAATCTCCACAATTCCGCAAAGGCCTTTCTGAACGAAGGAAAAGTGTCGTCTGATCCAGTGGGTAAGTTTCTAGGCTTGCACTTTCAATTTCCGTAGGAACGTGGTTCATGCCTCATGGCTTCTGATATCGTTTCGTTGATGTCTCAGCAATAGATGCTCCTGGGGGGTTCCTGTTCGAGTGGTGGTCTGTGTTTTGGGACATCTTCATCGCTCGCACGAACGAGAAGCACTCAGAGGTCGCCGCCTCTTATATCGAGGTGTGGATCCTTTTGAGTTTCTATCTGCCGTTCTAGGGCTATATTGGTGGTTGCCTATTTCGTGATATTAACTGTAATATTGAAACAGACTCAGCAACTGAAAGCTCGAGAGCAGCAGCAACAACAACAACAGCAGCAGCAACAACAACAACAGCAGCAGCAGCAACAACAACAACAGCAACAGCAGCAACAGCAACAACAGCAACAACAGCAGCAGCAGCAGCAGGCACAGCTTCAGCAGTTGCAGCAGCTTCAGATGCTACAACGCCATGCTGCGCAGCGGCAGAGGCAAGACAGCCACTTAGCGTTGAATGGAACTGCCAATGGATTGGGAACTGAGGCGTTATTACGTCAACCAGGCACAGCAAATGCAATGGCCACGAAGATTTATGAGGAGCGCCTTAAGCATCCACACCAAAGAGATACACTCGATGATGCATCTATGAAGGTTGGTTCCCCTGATGAGCTAGAGAGTTCTTTTGTAGAGAAAGGCAGATATTTGTACTAATAAGCTCGTTTCGAGTTTCATGGCGTTTCGTGATTGAAGTGGTCTTATGTACTTACACTGTTATTTAGTATATGATCCTTTTGCTGGTTGAATGATTTCGTAGTCATTGGTCACAGCGCAAGACTCGTTGACGTGAAGCACAGAGGCTTCCGAAGAAATTTTTATTGCCCTTTTTATTTTTCCGAATAATTTAGTCTCTCGCTAACAGTCGCCTTTCTTGAATGTTTACTTCTTTGACAGAGGTATGGCGAATTTTTTCCTTCGAGGGCGGGTGCTGCGAATTCGGCTTCATTGTTGAAGTTCAATATCTAGAAATTACCTTGGGTTGGAGGCTCATGACACTTTTTAGGATGTCCGTACTAAGACGAATTTTTTTACGCAGTTAGGATGAAGATGGGAGGACTCAATTTCTCAGCATTGCAGTCTCCTTGACAAATAATTTCCTCCAATCATATACGGAACCCATTTAGTTTAGATCGGAGCCATAGTCCCTCTCGTAGATACTCATCAGTCACGGGATTACAAGCCACATCTCCGCATCATCCCGGTCTGTGCAACAACTGGAAGTCTGGATTGTAAGCCTGGTTACGTTAGGAACAGTGAAGTGGTAATGGAATGTTATTCAATGTGAAATTTAGACCTGTAATTTTGTACAACTCGTTATGCCATATACTGACAGGCCTCTCCTTTGTCTGTGGCAGACCTTTGCTGCACAATGCTGCTGGTAGCACGCCTACAGCATTGCAACAGGTTCAGTCTCGTTCTCAGCAGATCTCTGGAAATTCTCAGGTTTTGTGCCTTTCTCTACCAGCTCTGAGTTGTGCCAGTAATAGGGTTTGTGGGACATGGTCATACCCAGGTAGAGGATACTGGAACTGGAGTGTTAAGTGCTAAGTGGAACTTTTCCATGCGACCTTCTCACTCATATTGTGAACTTCGACAGGATAACAAAAACGACGTCAATGTTCTAAATCAGAGATCTCCCGCTCCAGATCCGATGTTTGGAGTACCGGGAGTTGGACACAACAAACCTAGCCTTCTAAGTCCAGGTATATTACCTACGGATTCTCTACGGATGCATCTGTGTGGGTTGTTATTCTGGAATACCTTAGCCTGCTACGTAGTCTAGGCCATTTTAAGAGGACATTGCACCTGTCTAGTATACTGAACTTCAAGTTTAAATTGATTTGTCTGGGTGGGAGTTCTTTCTCTGCAGAGATCTGCCCAAGAGATATCACCTTCTCTTCTTAAAGTCATTCGGACACATTAGGGCGTTTCAGATATCTCCCTTTGCAAAATGTCGTAAGCGTTTCATGATCAAAGGCGAATGTGAACTGTTTTACGTTGTTATGGTTGTTGGGGATCTGCAGAGGTTCCCACAGCCTTTAACTGCGTATTTTGTAAGTCACGGAATAGCGTAGAAATCCTTGTGGCAAGTTGTCAGGGCGATATCTGGAACCCCTTGACTTTGTTTCACCCGCCTTAATCTCTTTGAATGTTTGGTCTTGAAAGTTTTTTCATGACAGTGTCTATCGGGTCGATGGTTCTCACCAGTTTATTGAACACAACAAGGATATTAGTTCTGGCTTTCACGTTGCAGCATTCACAAATAAATACTCAACCATTGTATTGTATGTTCAATCTCATTTCCTTTGATTTTTACACCCTTCATCAAATACACTACTTCAATTCATCCACTGTATCTTATCCCCAACATTTTTTTCTGGATTTCACAGTTTGCCTTCTATTATCTGCATTTGCCCTGTACCGTTCATATTGTTGGGTATTTCCTTCACGCCTTGATGGCTTTCCTTGAGTTTGCACGGTCCTGGTTGGCTTAAGTTTAATTGGTGTTGCTAATGCTTGCATCTAACTTATCACCTCAGAGTGGTAGAGTGACAGAGATGAAGTGTATGCTCTTATTTTCCTTCTTTTGGGGTTAGATTTAAGAGCAAGCTTGAATCTGAACACTCCGTTACTTACTAAAGTATATCTCGTTCTTTTCCTTCAAGTGAGTGCTTTCGTTCTGGGCAGCAACACCAACATATTGTTAGACAGTTACATCTCTCATATAACCCCTTCAATCATTTGGGAGTTGAATTTATCAGTTACTTAGCTGGTAATCACAATTTACGAAAGTTTGTATAGTTATCAGTATGTCACCAACTTGAAGACTTTATCAACTCACTGGTGAGTGCTTGTGAGTTGGATTGGATTCAATACTACCTGGTTTGGGTTGGTTCTATCTTGCCTTTTCATATTCTCTTCAGCGTCTTGTAAACTGGTAGTCCTCCACTAGGAAAGTTTTTTATACTTTTGAGTTGAGATTCACCTCACTGTCCGTCTTTTTTTTTTAGTTATATATATGGTCAGAGACACCTCCGTTGTTTTTTCCTTCCCTCAAGTTTCGAGTAACATGCACCTTTCAAGTGATATCAACATGACTGGTTTGTCCTCAGCTGAAAATAGAATGCACGTATAATTATTCAGTTCTGTTCACTGGTATTCAGATTTCTGTGTTTCGAGTAAGAATTCTCTTTTTGATCTTCTCGTGACGAATATTTGTTTCTTAGCACCCTCTCCTGTTAAATTGGTATCAACAGAACCTCCTTATTAGTCCGATTGCCAATGCAAATTAAACTTCCTGAATGCATGGCTATGCATTGATATGTGATAAATCTTGTGGTATTTTTCCAATTCAATCAGCGTAACGTGCACGTTTTTAACACTTCTGTAATTGTTGATCAAAAGCAGGAGTCAATCAAGGTGGCAATTCTTTACCTGTGAAAGGCTGGCCTTTGACGGTAAGTGAACTAAGGAAGAAGAAATTTAGGGTACTTGGCTGAATGTCACATGTAGATAGCTTTGGTACAAACTTGTTCATAACTCTTTCTAAACTTGGAGCCCATAGTAAATCTTAGACGCTTAATAGGGTTTTCAGACTATTGATTGCAAAACTAAATTTTGCAAGGTTTGTTCATCGTGAGCATAACAGAGCTCTAGATTCGGGAAGGTAGAAGTTGTGCCTGTGAGTGGAGTTGATCCTCATAGGCTTTTGTATTTGATTAATGAGGAGATGCATTTGAGTTTGTGGAGCCTGCTATATGAGACTGAACCGTCTGCTTATACATGATGTTTTTTCTGATTGTTGCAGGGAATTGACAATTTAAGACCTCAAGGATTGGTTCCGAGTCAGAAGTCATACATACAGGCTCCTCAACAATACCACCAGTTCCAGCTGCTCACTCCACAACAACAGCAACAACTCTTACTTCAGGCGCAAAATCAAACGTCTGGATCTCCTTTGTTACAGGATATGGATCACCGAAGGTTTAGAGTATTGATGGGCAGAAGTGCTTTGAATTCCAAAGACGGTCACACAAACCCCGGGAGCGACGTATCTCAAGGTGTCGGTTCTCCGATGCAAGCCGCGTCCCCTGTACCCCGTGGTTCTAATGACCAAGAGATATTGATGAAGGTAGTTCTCAAAAACATTGACGGTTTTGAGATGCATGTAGTAAGAACTAATAATTAGTGAGAGCGTAGCTTGTCCTCTCGTAGGTGTAGTGCTCTTAATGCTTAATTTTACTACATGGTGGATTGATAATTCTAGATGAAGCAGATTGCGCAAATGCAACAACAGGCTCAGCAACAACAGCAGCAGCAGCAGCAACCAAGTAATCTTCAACAACAACAACAACAGCAGCAACAACAACAACCAGCTACTCCTCAGCAACAACAGCAGGATAGATTGGGTGGAGTCGGGGGAGTAGCCGTTGATGGCAATTCCTTTCGTGCCAATGATCAGGTATATGGGGCCATCGAGCCAAGCCCGAGCACCAACAGTACAGGGACTGGAAAGGTAACTTGATGGTTGCTAGCAGAGGGTCCAGTTGTATGTCTATGGCAGTATACAGCGGAGGTTACTCGCTGTTACGCATGGAAAAGGTTTTGGGGGAACGTATGAGATTCTCTAAAGGGTACAGTCGGGGCAACAGCTGTAGGTCAGTAGTTCTGTCGTATTTTTTTCAGGACCTTTGCTTACCTTGATTTTCTGGTTGTGAAAGAACTCGGCTAAGGGTCCAAACAATGGGAGGAAGAGAAAGCAACATCCGGCATCTTCGTCTGGTCCCGCGAACAGCACTGGAACTGCAAATACTGCAGGGCCGTCACCAAATTCTGCTCCATCGACACCATCTACACACACACCCGGTGATGTTATGTCATTAACTTTACAACACAGCAACAGTATTTCAAAGCCCGGGTTGATGATGTACGCATCAGATGGAAATGCACCTCTTGCATCACCCTCAAATCACTTGGTATGTTTCCAAGAATGCTGTCAATTCTCTCTGATTCATAATGTACTCTATTAGTTTTTCCAGTCTTGTTGCCGATATCTTTGATTTTGTTGCTCTGTCCTAAGGTTGGACATTGCTTGTATTGTCGGCAGACTGACATTGATCGATTCGGAGAAGATGGTTCTTTAGACGACAATGTCGAGTCCTTTTTATCTCATGAGGAGGCAGACCCAAGGGAGCCGCTCTTCGGGAGCAGTAAGCGAAGTCCAGCGGGTCATAGCATGGATGTCAGCAAAGGTCCGTACAATGAAACCGGTTGATTGTTGGATGATGCTTCTGATAGAGTTTTGGATGGGGACCGTTACACCATCTTCTTCAGCATGGGATAGCGAACGTCTGTTTGAAAGTCACGAAGTTAGCAGTTCTTCATTGGAGATTTGAATGGGACATGTTTTCTTAGCCTCACTATATCCTTTGGAAGGGAATAGCATCCATGACACCAGTGTCTGTCTGAAACCCATAAAGATTTTGGAATTCTTTAGTAGATACTTGAATGAGACTGTTCTCACCTTGGACGCCCTGTAAGCCTTGTAAGCATCCAGGGTGAGGATAAGAACGCCAGGCAGCACAGGTTGAAAGGATTTGTAAATTAGTTCTTGTCGTTTTAGAACTTTCAGGACAGATTATCTCGGTGATTCTCTCTAGACAGACTTCTCTAGATCCTGGTTAAATGTTACTTGAACAGCTTTTATATTGTCAAAGTTGCTTCCAGACTTGTATCTGCAGTGCAGTGATATGTAAGTTAGTTATAGGCAAATGTATAAGTAGACTCCGACTCATTGTCTATTTGCAAGTTTAACCAGGAAGTTGCTGGATTTCGCCAGGCCTCACATAGCCAACTGATTTCGGACACACACCTGAGGCTAAATTTTTTGCGCGTTGAGTCTCATCTGAAGATGCTTGTTTATTATTTGTCTTGTTTTTACTTTGATTTCGCATAAGTTGTTCTCTGTTCTTTGTCAGTAGGCTAGAGCGTTATTACTTGATGATGTACAGAGTCTAGAATTTTGAAAGCTAGAGGGTTGACGATGTTCCCAGCTATTTTGCTTCCAGCTTTGCATGAATCCCCTTTCAGAGTGTTCTTTGGCATCCCTATCTCATATTTCCACCCCTCTTCCCCATTCTACCAACCTCATGTTAGTTTTTCTGAATTGACACACACTGGGTCGCGTTATAGGTAGTCAAACCTACGTTTCTTTCCTGCAAATTTCAGAGATTGGTAGCTCTCTAAGAGAGCTGCATTGATCTGTGACTGTATCATGATCAGAAGTGGTAGTGTACAAAATCTGTCTTGATACTTCTTCTGGAAGCAAAAGCCATATTTATTTTGTTCTGGGGTGTTTCAAGATTGTGTGGTTTCAGTGGAATTTGAGCGAAGAGAAAGCTCACTTGGTTGTAATGGTTTGCTTATACGGTTGCTGAAGCTTTTTCCATGAGAGCCACATATGTACCTCTCCTAAGACATCTACTTTGCCTTACTGCTTCTCCTACTGTACTCTAAGGCCATTTTTTCCTTCGTGGTTCTTAAATCATTTAGTTACCTGTCCTTTTGGAAGAAAGTGTGCTTACCCTTCTGAATCTTGTACAAGGATGAATCTAGTGGGACTTTGCAGATATGGTCCCTGCCATATCTCGAGAAAGTGCAGCCATGACGAACTTTTTCTTCTGAAACGTGACATGAAAACATATCAACCATTATGCAGATATTGCGATTTTGTTTCTCTGATATAGGTGTATGTCGCTGAAGTCGCCACTGATTTAGCTCATGAAGGGGAGCCTTTTCTACCTCGCCAACGTTTTCTTTTACTCTTCAGCCGTCCAAAATTTATGGGAAAGGAACTCAGTCAGCTTGTCAAGATTTTACGGCATGTATCGTAATGGTCATGAACCGTTGAACTTTCTTTTTCTCCCCTATTATCTCGGAGTGTGAACCACCTACATACGAGTCAACTTGTTCGATTGTTTGCATATCCTTGGCATCTCCATTCTGTCGCTTTCACTGAAGTAATAGTGCCGGAACCTTTACACTCTATATTCAGTGCAAGTGAGCTTGGTTGAGAATAGGTTTTCACCAATCTTTGGTAACACGTTACTCTTGAACTGGTCAGCCGGTAACCCGTTAGGTTGACGTACATCAAAGTTTTAGTTTACTCCGCATGACCTGGTCAGACAAACTCATGCTTTATCGAAAGACATGTGAATGGTGTCAGCCAAAACCTTATCTTTTCTTCCTTGCCACGATGAGATGGCGAGTGATTATATTTTCTGGTGTGTATTATCGAAGCTCTAATCCCATCCTCGCAGTATCCATCTTAGTGGCATTGATTAAAACCTGGAAAAAGTTATAGGGCATGCACGGTCACTGAGTTGAAGAATCACAGCTGAAATGTAGTGGGCTAGGTCGGACTTGTCATACTGACCACATTTCTACCGTGCCTTATACCATCTACAAGGAATAAGACAGCCAGTCAAGGTTCATGGAAACTCACTCCCAGGTATTGATCTGACCACATATCACTACTGTGTTCTCTAGTTTGAAGAAGTGTTCTCTAGTTTTCTTGCATTCTCAGTTCAGAAGTAAGGTTGCAGAAGTTTATAAGTTTTTGGATGAGACAGTAACAGCTTGTGGTCTTTCTAGTGCTTATGCTTTGCGCATTATTCATGGGTACTTGTCGTGCCGAGCAAACTCAAAACATGCCTCCCTTGGCCTTAAAAAAGCTATCTGGGTAGAAAGTTTACCGCCAATCAGACGAAGTAGTCAAAGAACTCAAATCCGAAAGGTTTCCCGCCTATTCTGGTTCTGTCCACTCTTTGGCAGGCTCATAAAACTCATACTGTCAAATAAGTATGAGACATTATGAGCTTAAATTCCTTCGATAACAAGTTGCCTTGAGTTCACACTGAAACCTTACTGAGTTGTTGTCAAGTTGTCTGGGACTTTTGATCAGACATCGGTGCTCGTCAGAGAGTTGAACATGAAACAAAGGATTGGAAAGCTGTGTCTGTTTACTGCAGGTTTTAACGTGTGAGGAGAGACTTCAAGAGTTGATTCAAGACAAATAGTTGTCATAGTATTCCTCCTACAGATTTTGGCCGGAATTCGATTGTGGTGACGTATGTCTGTTTTTATGTAAGCTCATAATAAGCTCAGTCCTGTTGTTGTTCTTCGATTCTTTGACGATGACGAGCATTGCAGCTTCAGATTGAGGTGTTTCTAATCGGTGATGATCGGGCATCCCACCTTAAACGAGGTAGCACAGCGCTAAAACCACGGCAATTGAGACCTCATCGAATCATGTCATCATTCATCCTTACCGCACACGAAGGGTGTCTACTAACGCATCTGTTTAGCGAGACTAAGAATGGCGTGATTACTCATTGTGGCATAGGCTTATTGTAGTTCATAGTTCTCATGGTCAGGAAATTGAGGAATTTTGAAATCTTGCTAGTTCTGGATATCCCTTTATTGACTGAGGACTATAACTAACCGAGGATTTATGTATAGAATTTTACTTGTAAATGCAATTTTTTTTAAGCGCAGTGAAAGTCGTTACATAGGTACATGAGGAATGAATGGCAACATGTCACGATTTTACTTCCATCGTCTTGAAAAATTCAGAACCCGGGTCGCGGTGGGTGCTCAAAAGCATCCGTGCCGAAGCTACCCGTGGGCGGCGATGATGTCTTATTGGCTAGTCATGCTGTGAATGATGGCACCATGGTTTTTTTGTGGAAGGTCTCTGTACTGGTTGTCAAACCTATCTCAGATCTTTCTCCTCAATGCCGATCAAGGGCGGATAATTTGACACCAAAGTATGGTGCTTCGGCATGTTCCTCTTATGAATTGTTTGATCGGATAACTGCCTCTGCATAGCTTAAACCTACTGCATCTCGCATCCCCAATGTATGATTCCTTTGAGCCTGTCCCTTACATTGCATCTTCAGTAATGTATGGTGTCTTGTGTAACTGTCATGGCTATTTCTTCTTTGCATATGTATTGGTTATTGTGGTACTTTGTAAATGTACCGAACTGACGTTATTACAGATTTTACATCTCAGTGCTGGCCCAGATACTTCACATGTAGTTGTGAGGTCTAGCATTGATAATTGCTGCACCTTTCGCATTCCTTTTCCAATTCTTGTTGTATTCGGGAGTCCTTTTCAAACAGATTATATGTCTTGATTTGCGTTTGGGTATATATATGTTCGTGCCCTTATCTCGATCTTGGAAGTCGAAAATTCCTCTTTGCATTATATTTGCACCTGCGCGAGATGGTGTGATTATCAAGAGTTTTTACTACCGTTGCAGATCACCACGTAGACAGAAAGTTGATGAACATCCACAGACCTATATATAGGGACGTCAGGATTATTGTCAACGATGATATCAAAGAGCCAGTCATGTCGTCTTATTAGTTGCGAAACTTTGGAATTTGGGAATTGATTAGATGTTTCACCCAGATACATATGTACTCGATCTACAACGCATTTAGATTCAAATTGTAGCTGTCTAAATTCGTTGGATCTCTCCCTCCAGGCTTTTCATTTAGCGAGGTTGGATGTCTTCGTGCCAGCACAAGCAAAGTTGTGTGTACCCATTTCTCTTCCGATGGAAGATTACTCGCTAGTGCGGGACATGACAAAAAGGTCAGTAGGGTATCTAATGTATTGAACATAGTTGTGGATTGCACAATATATTTCCACGAACTCTGTTGGCTGTGGAAGTTTTTCGAATGCTCGCTGTCTTGTTTTTTCATCGGCAGGTGAGTTCAAATTGTTTCATGGTGTCTGTTTTTCACCTTGTTATGTATGTCACCTCCGTTAACAGGTGAACCTCTGGAATATGGACACATTGAAGCTGAAAAGCACGCTGGAGGAGCACTCGCTTTTGATAACAGACGTTAGATTTAGTCCCAACTCTGCACGTTTGGCGACGTCATCATTTGACAAGACTGTGAGAGTGTGGGACGCCGACAATGTAAATTTATATGACAGCTCATATCTGATTTGAATAAAAGTAGGAGATGTGCAGACGTGTGACATGCTTGAATATGGTAGATTGCTAGAGTTGTTTTTAAACTCTGTTATTTGAATATGGAGTTGCCGTACTTCCCCTACATTGATAGTGATGTCATCCATACGAAGAACTTCAGTTTTGCTTTCAAGATTTGAGGTTTTGTAGGTTTGAAGGCATTATATTCGAACATGAAAGTGAGGAATCATTCAATTTAGAGTTTCTTCTTACTCTTTGACTGTGTCTTGCAGCCAAGTTTTTCGATGAGATCTTTTCAAGGTCATGCCACCTCTGTGATGTCCCTCGACTTTCATCCCAACAATGAGGATTTGTTGTGCTCTTGTGACGGAGATAGTGAGATTCGATACTGGAGCATCAATCAAAACACCTGCACTAAGATATTCAAGGTTAGAGGGGCTCTTCATTGTCTTATTAGTCTTCTAACATTAGATGTGTATGTAAAGGTGATTGCTCATCTGTTCTAAAGCGGAAGTGTTGTTTATTCAGCGTTCACTGTCGGAAGTACTTAACTTAGCTTCTATACCGATCGCAGTGATCTGCATATACGCTTTGGGAAGGGGATGAAGACATGCTTGTGGATTATTGTTGTTCCTTTGGACTCTTATAATCTTGCTTGTGGATGACTTACAGTCTCGGCAAGAAGCTGTGATCATGCCTCTTCTTAGCGAGAGGGTTTATTTGGTTCTGTATAGAAATAATGTCTATCTTCCCTAACTTGTGTTGTGTTACGCATGAGGTGACTTTTTAAGAGGGATCTCATACGTGGAGAGTTTGTGCTTATAGGGTGGTATGACTCAAATGAGATTTCAACCTCGAGTGGGAAGGTTGTTGGCTGCAGCGGCTGAAAATGTCGTTTCCATTTTTGACGTGGAGACGGAAACGTGCATACACTCACTGCAGGTATGCGCTGACTTATTCCTCGATATCGTGTCATAGTTTCTGTAGGTTCTGTGTAGACCTTGATACGCAAGGCTGTTTGCCTGTACTATATGTATAGTGGATCACCTTCTTTCTGAGGAGAATGTATATTTAATGGTTTGGGAGACTTTGCCGTTCTTCTTTGACCGAACTGCAATTTCTAGCCTTTTTTTCCACTAGTGAATTCGAGTGTACTGTTGATTATTTTTCGTCTGAGATCTATATCTTGAGCAAAAGTCTGAAAGTCCGGCTTTCGGTTAACAGTACATGTCATTAGAGAATATGCTAAGGAAAATCGGACGCTTTGTTGTGGGACACATGTGGATCATGGAAGGCCATGTAGAATTTGGCTAAAGGTTTGCTTTGTTAACACACTGAAGGGCTTCTGATGCATTCAAATGTACACTTTTTGCAGAGACACACCAAACCTGTACACTCTGTTTGCTGGGATGCCACTGGTGATTTCGTAGCATCCGTCAGTGAGGACTCTGTCAGGGTGTGGGCCTTGGGGACTGGTAATGAAGGGGACTGTGTTCACGAGCTCAGTTGTAATGGGAACAAGTTCCACTCATGTGTCTTCCATCCGAATTACCCGTCGCTGTTGGTGATTGGTTGTTATCAGGTGAAGAAACTGTTAATATATATGTTTTTGCCCTCATGCTTTTTATTTTTATATTCTTAAGAGCGCTGCAGATGAAATCAGATGAAAGCAAAGCAGCACGCTGCTGCTTTCATCTGATTTGGGTGGAATTCAAACCTTTGCATTTGGTTGAATGTCTTCTTACTTTTGTCTATTTTATGTTGGCCATTTGGCAGTCTTTGGAGCTGTGGAACATGGTGGAGAACAAAAGCATGACCGTACCTGCCCATGACGGACTGATTGCTGCGTTAGCTCAGTCTCCAGCGACGGGCATGGTTGCGTCTGCTAGTCATGATAAATGCGTTAAGCTGTGGAAGTGAGGAACCGTGTAGTCATGTGTTATCGCTGTAACACAAAAGCATAACTGTTACTTTCTCCCAGTTTTTGAGAACAATAGCCCCACCACATTTAGGCGTGGTGATGTTCACTCTGTACTATGGGGAGCATGGATTAGTGAAGATCTGTATCGACAGAATCATTAAAAAAACCAGGTTATATATGGTATCAAGAGGAGGACTTGTTGGAGCTGAAGGGGGTCGCGTTTGTGCTTGAATGTCTACAACCGTCCCTAATCCCTGTTATCAGAATGGGATCTAAGTTACATGTCCTCATAGGTAGTACCCGCCGTATTTAGATCTCAAGGAGGATACTCTAGTCATTCACGTGGAGTTGTCACTCCGAAGAGGGACTCAGGAAATATCTCACTGTTATGACTAGAGGGCAGATAGGACGTGAACAGTACTGTAGTGAGGCGGTAATGATTGGTGTTACCTTGCAGCAGAGCAAAAGTCGTCAGAACCTTTCAGGTCAGGCTGGACTGAGTACTCAAGGCTTGCGGTCCACTTCACTTTATTTACATTTTTCACACGGCTGTAACCAGTTGAACTCTAAAGCCCATCCTCTAAATGGAGCGACTCTGTAGACTAATATGAGAAACATTCTAGAGGCAGTGGCAGCTTAGTTATTGATGTTTTCTTTTGCTGCCCTCGCATCAGGTTTGCTGCTCATCCAGGCCCTTATCTGATGCTAAATATAGATGCATTGGCCTGGGTTGGATAGTTGAAGCACTCTAGGTGCTTAAGTTGCTATTTCCCGGTTTGGGTTCCAAAACGAAAACAAGATTCAAACAAAACCTGCTAGCGTCGTTGTTAATTTAATCGCGGTTGCATTGGCCCAATCGCGGTGGTCTTGGCCCAAAGTCTCAAAAATCCAGTTTAAGCAAATAATTCTCGAACGTATGTCATGACGCTTCCTTTTTCGAAATTGAGAGTAAGATGGGATGAAATGGAGTCCTGTGAGCCCTTCAGCGGCCTACGTATCTGGCTGTGTATTAGCGCATAGAGACGTGATAGTTTTACGTATATCGTACTGGTGTGTCAGAATTGATGGGTGGCAAGTATGACCGAAGGTCTTCCTTCGTTGATACATCGTCGTTTTGTCTCACGAGGTGCAGACTTTTTTTACCGTATCCTTAGAAATTCTACTTGGCCTTGCGCTGTGAAGGTTCTCAATGTGTATTTTAAAACAATATGTGGAAGCATTCCAATACAAGGCAATGATTGTGCATCTGAGGTGTGTCTGAGTTGTCTCGGTCATGCCATCCATGTTCCAATCTTGTAGCCGAGGACGCGTAGCAGCATCTTCGGAGAATATAACAAGTTAACAAGTGCCCCGTGAGACTCCTCTGATCCATACTAAAAAAATCAATGTACATGCTTGGTCTGCGGTACTTCGTTGCAGGATTATCATTCTCACTCTCTTCTCTTCTAGCATCCTGTGGAACCGAAGATGCAAGAAAAGGCACCCTGGTCCCTCTGTTGCCTCTCTTCATGCTGCATCCAATCTGCATCTGTTCGTATTAGAAATCTCAACCAATCCTTTCAAGGTTCGAATCTAGAAAGGAATGGTCTTATTGCAGCTAGTAATCACATCAGATACAATAATTCGTCTTAAGGTTCAGATCTTGAACACTGTGTTCTAACCCTAAACTTCGAATTTATGAGCACAATAAGTATAGGTCATGTTCTCTTGCTGGTATAGAAGAACTTCAAAGTTGTACGTAGCAGGTGGGCACTAAATTATTTCGTGTCAATGAAGCTAATTCACATGTTTCGGCAGCAAAATTTTTCATTAGGAGCAATGCACGAACATGAATGGAAAACTGAAGGGACATTTCTAACAGAAGAAAAACAGGCTAAAACTACGCCTATACTTTATAAGCTGATTAGAGAGTCCGCTGACCTATCATATACTAAAGCCAAGAATGTCGTGTTTTTCTCAGCATGGTTGATGTCTTTAGGTGAATGATCACTTCATGATCGTAAAGTCTGCCGCTGAAGAGCAAATGTATGCCATTTGAATATATCTCTTGCGATCTTTGTTATTACATGCATCCATCGGTTGAATTTTTTTTTTCTATTATTTGCATAATGTTTCCATGGTATGTAACGCATTTTAATAATAAAACTTTCAGAATATTTTTACGATAATCGTTCACATACCATACAAGCATGTCTCTTCTTGAAAGAAATTTATATACTAAGATCATAAGTTATACTTTTGGACTCAATGTAAGCGTTTGAATAATAATTGAATGATTCAAAATATGATTTGAATATCTTATAACAAAAATTTTGGGAGTTCTATATAAAAAATTTTAATAAAATTGAATGAAGCTGTTATTTGACTTTCCCATCTATATTATTCTTTAGTGTTCATTTTTTCGGATTTTCATTATTAGGATCTTGTTAAGGGTCTTGTTTATTATTAGTCTTTAATATTATTTTCGGTTCTTTACTATTTATTAGTTTTCTTTTTGCAATGCACAAAACATATGCCATGATGTCATTAGTTACTCGATGTTTGTTTTGAAACTAGAAATCTATATATCATATATAGAATAAGCTTGAGATGTTTCTAAAAGGTTTTCTAAAAGCAAAAAAACAAAGATGCTTTCTTGTTTTTCACATGCAGCAAGAGACAGAGACACGCCTATATCAAACATCAACCAGGTTTATCAGCGAATGTAGTTTAGGTTAAAATATAGCAAGGATTTTCAAATTATCTTGCTAAGCTCAATACATGGAGGAATGTCAAGCAATATTGGAAAAATAGAATCAAGAAGTCAAATGATCCAAGTCTAATTTGGAAGTATGTTAAAAAGAAGATAGTTTCAATGTGTTTGTATATGGAACTGGGAAGATTAATTGTGTTTAAGTCATAAATTTCTTGTGCTTATACCATAAATACAGTTGTGTTTATGTATGATACATATTTTGTCATGGGAGTTTCAATTTCTAGAAAAAATGACCTAGACATCTGGACGTCAGATGATGTACTTATATTACCCTTTTTATAGTCCATCTTTGATTTGTCACAAAAGATGGACTGTAAAACAGGTAATGTAAGGAAGAATGAGATTGTACTGCTGCCAAGACCACATGTGATTTTAACGCTAAACAAATAACTTCCATATACATAGACTTTGATTTCATAGTAAACACTTTTTATAAATTATTATCTAAGTTAGTTTGTTTGTGGTACTCAATCATCGAAATAAAAATTCAGATGAGGAACAGGAGGCTAACTCTTTATGAGTATCAGAACGTGGAGATGAACAGATCGAGAAGAGACAAACATGTGAAGATGAAGAAGATGAAGAGAAAGAGAAGAGACAAAGTTGGAGAGGTCAAATAGAAGCATAAGACGAAGAGGAGAAAGAAATTGAAGAAGAAGAAAAAGTTCAACAAAGCGAAAATCTCGGTGAAGATTATGTATCAAGGCAAGAAAAATAATGCAAGAGTTTTTGGCTACAGAATTTGAGGCTGAAGCAACACCAAACAAGCAAACTGCAAAGAAACAATGTACTTTATCATGTTGATATCTAATGTAATATCTGTATAAATAAATAAATAAATCTATCTGTAATGTATATCTACAATCTAGTGCAAAATTTTATCTGAAATCAAAGTTTGCTCTTATGTAGTAACTGGAGTTTTGCAAGTTAGTTAAAAAATGAAGTAAGAAAAAGGGTCTCATTTCAAATTCCATCTTGTGATGACGAGACGGCCTCAAGAAAGAAGAAAAAATTGATCTAAGAGAAAACAAGGTGATGATTATTGTAGTTCCACATTGAGTATATACATTGGATTCTATAATTATGCAATTTATGCATTTTCTTATGTTGAAGATATTACAAAATTTAATTTATCCGCATCAAAGTTTTGATACAAAGTTTAAGCAAAGAATACTCCAACACCACCAAAAGGAAGAACAAGAAAGAAGAAGGTCAAGAAAAGTTAGGCTTTTTAAATCCATATTAGTGCTAGAAAAACATGAAGACAAAAGAATGAGTATGAGAAATTGCCATATTGCAATAAATTAGTATTTAATTAAGATAAAGATAACTCTCTTGATTTGAATAAAAACAATAATGAATTATGTTCTTTTTAGTTTTTTATAATATTGTTTATGCATCTTGACACATTGTATACTTAGTTTTGTACATCAATGAAAAAAAAATTGACAATGAGTAAATTGAGAGACAACCAATGCATACTTGTCACTCAAGAAATACTTCATCAATATCAATTGATGATACATTTGTAATTCTATGTGTGAATTAGTTGTAGAATTATTCAAAAAGTTGATCATGGTTTGCTTAATCATGACCAAGTTTAGCTAGTTATGACAAAGTTTAGTTATCAATTCCATACTTGGCAAAGAAATTACGTTGATACAAAAATTATGAAAAATACTTGCATTTTGTTTTTTTATCAAAATTTTAAATTCTAAAAAATACTTTGATATTTTGAATGGGTTGAATAAGTAATAGAATCTTTATTGATTAAAGTCTAAAGTTTGACTTAGTGTCAAGAAGAAATTCTTGAAATTTCAAGTTTCTAATGTCAAGTACATAAATATACTTAAAGACAAAAAAACTTGTTAAAGATTTAGCTGATCAAATAGCATGTTTTCACACAACAAAAATTAGTTTTAAATATCAAAACTTATCTTAGTGACGGTAATTTAGATTATAATTATCAATAATTATAATGATCGTATTTCAAATAATATAAATAAAGAGGTAGAGAAAGTGTTTGAAGCAAGTTTGGAAAGTTTTTTATGTGAAATTTTGTTTTATCAATGAAAGTTAGATTTTGAAAATAATTCTAGAGTATCAATGAATGCTAGTCTTGAATAATGAGTGAAAAGATTGTGTCGAAGTATGTAGTAACGTAGACACATAGATGAATTTCAACCTTCTAAAATAATGATGAACTCCCAAAAAGTCATCAAAGTTAAATTTGAATAGGAGTTAAGCATGAGTTCACAATTCAACATAACGCAAAAATTGGACCCAAGAATTTCATTATGATTATACAATATAATTATGAATCGGAATATAATTTGGTTATAAAAATTTGTGAGGCTAAAATTAGCCAAACATGCTCATTTGGAGGAATCTTATTATAATTTGAACACATCATTTATTGCCAATGAGAGTCAATAAAAATGCAAGAAGTATCATGAAAGTAGATTTAACTTTAACAGTGATCAATTTGAAGAACTAGAGTTTCATATAGCTAAAAATGTCTTCATAACATCATGCATTTTGTAGAAGTTGATTTAAAACTTAGTTATGTTGAATGAGAAGGATGAAGATTTGGTTGTTGAGATTAACTCCGATTAAGGAGTGTGGTTGTGTAATTTGTTCGGAAATAATGTAGTTTAGAAAGTAAATACAAGTAAGTTTGAATTTTTAGAGCAGTATTACTCTGTAGAAAAGTGAACAAAGAATTTCAGCATAGACGTTGAGTAGGAGTAGGAAATAGGAAGGATCCCACTAGATAGAGCTTGGTATGCTGGTTCCAATGAGGTCAAGAACTGGAGGAATGGACCAGTGGAGTCTGAGCTACGAAGTGATGAAGCTTAGACCATGTTTTCCCAAAAGCCTAGTACAGTATTCGGCAGAGGGTATTCGGCCTTCGGTGTTAGAATCTTCGGAGTTACCTACGAAAGACTTCCGGCGACGGATCCCCATTGAAGTAAAAGATGGAGCCACACGGGAAAGAAATTTGAATGGCGTTACCTTCAATTCGCACAAGTTGGCACTACCGATGCGGC